GGACAGTGCTGCATGCATCTTTTTTTTTTCAAAAGTTTATATGTTGAATCAAAAAGAGATTTTACAAAATGAGTGAATGAAAAGTTTTATTCATTCATAATCAGCACCGAATTACTCCATATCTCACAACTTTCTTTTTTGTACAGGAGATGAAAGAAGAATTTATTGTAATAAAGAAAAAAGAATACTAGTAATAAAACAATAAAAATCAGTTTTATTACTACTCCTTTTATTTCATCTTTTTTTTTCTCAGTTGACCATTTCAATGTGCTACTTTGTGTATAGACTTTGGGTGCAGTAAGCATCATCGATACCGAGATGAGTTGCATCATTTAACCTCAATTTCTCATTTCGGATTATGTATGAACCATGAAAAATAAACTGTATAAATCACCTATCATGTCAATTGAAATATCGATATTTTACCTTGATCACAGAGATGTCCCCACGAGTTATCAATGAATAGTTTCTGGGGGGGGGGGGGGGGGGGTTAACACTCTAAAAGTACAATTATCTTTCGACTATCACTGCACCCAATACCGTGTCGTTCGGCGTTAGAATATCATTAAAAATCTATCTGGTATATCAATGAAACCTCTTTGGTTGGTTTCATATAAAAGATATAGAATAAAATACAATATAGTTTGAATTTTCAATGTTTCACAAATGTTCCCATCGACTAACGGTGATCTGTCCTGCTATTAGTGAAAAACGATATAAAATCAATGATTTAAATCGACGTGTTAAATGGGCTCCACATCGGGATTTTAATAAGCCATACCCACAGCGGGGATCTCCGTTACAGTGTTCATCCGTTTTCGACACTGTAATATCAGTCTATCTGACATGTTCTATTCACAGCATTGTTAAAACTTATGCTTATGGCTTATCGAAGTACATATTTTAACAGTGTTCATGTAAATATTTCTCTCGTTTTACATAGCATTAAATTCTCTCCAAATACTGTTTAAATAACCTATCCCGTTAAAAGATAATTTCCTCTTAGTTGATTGTATTAATATTTCATTAAATAAAGTATATTCCCAATAAACACGCATGTGTACGTATACAGTGTCAAAAAATTAAATCAACTATTTAGTCTTAAATTTATACACTGGTTAATACTTCATAACAAAAAAAAACAACCTGTGGTGTGCTCCATCCCTTTTCCCCTCATTCATTCTTGTGACTCATTGGACTGGGGTCCGTCCTCTGACGTCATCGATGTGCAAAATTTGATGTGCAAATCTGATAAAAGGAGCGTCTATTCCCTCACACTATACTACTAAGAGATTGCTCAATTTAGAACACATCTTTTCCTCAGCTTGATTTCACTGGGCTTAAAAATCAGATAACATTTTCAAGCACCTCCCTTCCTTCACTAAAACAATCGATCCAATGAATAACTAAACTTCAAATAAGACTTTTGTCTTCATAAAACTTTTACAAGTTATTGTATTCTACTGCAAATTTTAAGGAATTTTCAAGATATACATTTTCGTTTTATAGAACACGTGTATGACTGTATGTGTGCTAAATGAAATTGAATTCTGATCTGAACTGTGACTTTTAGATATAGAAATAATTTGTTATTTTTTTTTATCACCCGTCGTACTTTACGAATCGTGAATTGTTTCAGTTGCAAATGATGTTTTAATGACGCTCTGAACACGGCAAACTAAAAAGCTCCATTTATTGGGTAGATTTATGCAATCAGAGTATTCTGTCCTTAGATGTACGATTAAAGAAATTGTTATTTACCATTAATTACATAATTTAAAATAGTTTAAAATATTATTAGCAATATATAAGACCAAGAGTAAGAAATTAAATTAATTATTTTCCTCAATTTTTCCAATGTACAACAGTGATTTCTGCCCACAACTAGACCACTGTCTCTGAACATTTTTCCTGCTCAAATAAGACACGTACCATATGTTCTAAATGAATGAAAAAGTCTAAATAACATATCTTTATATGATATACGAGGGGTGATCAAAAGGTTGCGAACTATCTCTCTATCTACAAAACTACAATTCATATTAGAACAAAATTTGTTACACACACAGCCATACACAAGTTCTATAAACAACATATGCTGAATAAAGTTTGCTTCTTGTTTGTGGCGTCACAATGTGAAAATTACGTCATACGCGACGAAAGATGATTGTCTTAGTCGAACTCGTTAAACAAACGACTGTTCAATTTATTGTATATCTTAAAAATGTCTTTGCAGTAGCATATGATAAATTGTACACAGTTTATTAAGACAAATGACTTATCCATAAATTCAATCAATGATTGGATTGATCGTTTTAGTGATGGAAAGCAGATGGTTAAAAATGATACTTGTTATGTTGCCCAATGAAAGCCAGTTTGAAAAGATATGTTTTTAATTGAGCAAATTTTCTATCAAAGACCTCCAATTTACACTTTGTAAAATAGTTGAATATTTGAACAATAATATAATTATTAAAGTAATATACGCTATAACGTGCGCCATTTTAAAATTCGGCTGGAAATATATATATTTTGTTTACCAATAAAAGTTACGAAAATGCTGTAAATTACATCATTTATATAAAATTCGTTTTAAAGTTATAAAATTATGATTATTTATTATCCTGCAAGGAGAATAATGTCTATTTTTAAGTAAATCCACCACGTGATGCCGTTGCTACTTTTAGATTGATAAACAAACACGGCGTCAAGAAAACGAGGTAAGCCCTTTGAGATACAACTCACTTTTGATATTGATGGCGTGTTACTATTAATATAACATATCTTTAAATGTAATCAGTATCAACTATCTATACTCTGTTATAACGCATATTAACCTTTTATTAATAACCGTTGTCAAAATGCAACGTGCCTTTTTGTCTATAATTTCCCGTGAACATACGTGTCTATATTTAGACCTACTGTTTAGGCACTTCCTTTTTACATGAAAAGACTGAATTCTTGATTGCAGATATTGCTTCATTTTCTGTTTATTACAATGAGTTTTATAGTTAAATTTTGTGGAATTATTATTTTTTTCATTACACTTTGTGTGTTTCAAATCATTTTATCATTTTGTTTCACATACAAATCAGCAATCATACGGCGTATATTACTTTAAATAGCCTAAAATATAATTTACTTAGATTTTAAACATATGAGATATGATAAAAAGAAGGCACCCATTAATCTCTATACAATGTTTCAATGGTCGCCATACTTATCTTTGGAAGGATATTCTAATCTACCCATTTTGTTGATGAGATTTGACGATTTCTGACAAATGAACCGTTCTTGTTATAAAAATAAATTTACATAGAAAGAAATTTGAAACTCGGAAAAAATCTTTCATCTTTTGTGACAAAACGCTACGGAGGGGGTCTTGTGACCGCTAATATCACATGATTTGCGCATGCGCAGAACGGTAGTTGATATACATTAAAATTGGAGAGGATTAATTTTAAATATAATCAACACTGATATGAAATAGTTTTCTTTTACGGAAGTTATTTAATTAGTTTGCGAAATTTTTAATAACCCTCGTATTTTTCTCTAAAGGCCAGCCCCCCAAAGTGTCTGTCAGTGTTAAGAGCTTCCTTTAATTTTTATCGTGCTGAGTTTACGCATGTTGAACATATCTTAAGAACAGACGAGACGTTCCTTAATAATAGATAAATTTTTCTAAGAGTTTGTCATTGAAGTATTGCTACTTAAACATGTTTTCTCACAAAAATTGAGGTACCTTACCGGGCATTTCTGCAAGATACCAGGGGTAGTTTTTCTTATAATGCTTTGGGGAAGAAAAATAATTTTCCAGTTTCAAATTTTTAAGTGTTTGGATCTTTTAAAAACGTTTAGAAACTAGTTTAGAAATCAGAATGTTATTAAAATTTTGAATATTTTTCATACATTACGAATTAAGACATACAAAACAGATTTTGAGGAACGTTTCGTCTGACCTTAAGATTATCTCGTAAGCTATACTTAAAGATTGAAATATAGGCAATAATCATTAAATGTATTTTATAATTAAAGTCCGTAAACACATTAGATAAATCTCGCTTAAATTATCAACTGGGAAACATGATAAATTTATTTCTGTAAATTTGGCGTGTCGTTCCATCATCTGTTACTTGTACAATAGAATGTTTAAGAGATTTAGATCGGTGACCGATGTAACGCGTACGCTTATGCAGTTTTGTTTATAATCAAGTAACACAAATTATTACCTCTTAATTCATGTCTTAAATCCTTGTTTATTTGAACAATTAACAAAATAATACAAAAATATTCATATGCATGAACATTAGTATTAGTGACTTTATAATCTAAACAGAAAGTAGGACTTGAAATCAATTTTACGATTAAAAACGTAGTAATCTATTAAGAACATTTTATTTGAACACAACATGAGTCTTTGATGCCCCATTTTTTCACCTCGTTCTATCAGTTTTGAACAAAAATAATAATCATACAACACAAGAAGGATAACTCTCCTGACAACAGTTAATGTTTACATGAAGATAGCTTTTTGATAAGAAGGGCGTCCATTGCCAGACGGAATAGAAATTTCTCTATATGAAGGTATTGCCTTACATACTCATTTTCTTTGCTGGAAGCAATAAATATAAATACCTTATAATACTTTTTTTGGATGATGTTTTGAAAATTTATAAAAAAGGGAGTCACATTTGTCCATCTACAACATGTACAATGAAATGAAAGTTTTTGACGACAGTCTGAAATAATCTCCATTAAAAGCTTCCTTACATTTTTATAAATGCTTTGAATGAATCAGTATAAAATGACTTATGCAGGAAATAATATATGATATATGAAGCATTTTTAAACTACTTTTGCTTTTAAATTTAAACGATATTAAAAAAATAATCTAAGTATAAGTAAAGAAAAGATGAGATTCTTCCAAGATAAATGTACATTTGTACTTCTAACATTTTAGATTTAGTATGGATCCTCGTACGAGTGCACAAGATGTCATCCGTTGTGACCTTTGTCAGACAGCTGAAGTGCAGAAGTACTGTGATTTCTGTCATGTCAATCTGTGTATTCCTTGTATAGGAAAACATATTTCTGATGACTATGACAAACATAAAGTGGTCCCATTCAAACAAAAGAAGTCAACTTTAATCTATCCTAAGTGCTCATCACATCAAAAAAGAGGCAGCAAGTTTCACTGTAAAACGTGCGGGACCTCTGTATGTTCTCTGTGTGCTACATCTGATAAACACAGAGGGCATACAGTTTTACCTCTTTCTGATCTCTTTTATTCAAAGAGGGAAGCTATTGGAAAAGATTCTGAAGAATTAGAAAACTCAATTTCTCCAACGTATGCAGAAATTGCAGAAGGAATAGAATCCCAGATAGCTAACCTAGATGGGAAATATGAAAATCTTACATCAACGTTGATTGAATTTGGTGAAGAATGGCACAGAGAAGTTGACGTGATTGTTGAAAAATTAAGAATGGAAATAGAAAAGGAAAAAACGAAACATAAGAGTATTCTAAAGGAGCATTTGAATGAAATCAAACAGATACAGACTGTTATTGAAGAAACACTTCGAAATCTTGAACAAACTGAAGATTCAAATGATGTATCTTTGACCATGGAGTACATCTCACGCACCAAGGAATTTAGCAAACTACCTCCAAAAATTCAAATATCAATACCAACTTTTAGTTCAAGGACAATAGACACAGAGCAGTTTTACAAGCTATTCGGATATTTAATACCATTATCTGTCACAACAGAGGAAAATGGTTACGAAGTGAAGAAACCAAAGTTATCATCAAAAGAAATGCTAGAGGCAAAAGTAAGTTATATTATTTTAACGGATCGATCATATTATTTGTACCCACAGACATTGATATTTGGTTAAATTAGGGTCTATTTCTTCTCTTTTTTTCTTATTTACTGTATTCTCTGGACATATTAGTTCTTGGTTAAGAAATCCTCATCAATACATGTAATTTATTATGTCAGGCTTGGGACACAGAGAACATGCCCTCTAACAGAAAGGCGCTGGTGGCAGCCATTGACTTTGGTACTACGTACAGCGGCATTGCATTTTCCTATAGACATGACTACGAGAACGACCCTTTGAAGGTCAGCTCCAACAAATGGACAGCAGGCTATAGCTACCGGGGTCTGGAGTCCCTTAAAACCCCCACCTGTATTCTGTTCAATAAAGACAAAGTGTTTGACTCGTTTGGTTATGAAGCGGAGGATAAATATTCCGAACTGGCAGAGGAAGAGGAACATGAGGAGTGGTATTACTTCAAGAGGTTCAAGATGTCCCTCTTTAACACAGAGGTAAGTTCATCTCTTAATATGTGAAAAATGATAATTATTTAAAGTCAGGATTGTTGTTATTAAAGGGGCCGGCATTTACTCGCCGTAATCCACTCTGGATTTTCTTGTATTTCGCATCGACACTCTAGATCTGTTAGGGGAGGAACCCTTAACGAGGCTCGGGGGTCGCTGCCATTTTAGACTGTTTCTATCTCTACACAAAAAAGATTTTCACTCTAATGTCACGTAACTCTTTCAGGAGTTATCGTTCATAAAACGCGCTCTTCATTCAAGTAAGGTAATAATAGACATCCAGAAACGTAGAGACAAGAACGGGCGATTTATTAGTGAAAAACAGGGAAAAGATATTTCTATTGATATAAATAACAACAACAGCAACGATGTTTCTTCACATATGCCGTTTGAAGTGCATGCACTACACGATCATGCATATTTCTCCAAAAAGAAAACACCTCTCCAAGTAGTGAGTTTATCATCAGCACCAGTGTTCGAAATCCCGCCAAATGACAATTCCACAGTTTCATTCGGGTAATTTATTTCATTATTATTAAAATTTAATCTATCTTATAAACATGTAAAAGATGAGTGAAGAGACGAATTGTTTCCTTTTCACCATAAAATAATAAATAAAAAGGAAAATAATTATTTGATAAAACTCAATAAGAAAATTTGCAACAGGAAATATATATAAATGGGGCAAAGGGGGGCCATAGATTAATCTAAGAATTTTCATTATTTTATGTTTTCACAGAGAGAAGAATCTCACTCATCCCAAGAGCCATGGGCGGATTACAACACTGGAAGCAAATGATGGTGATATGGATCTAGAAGATGCACAATATTTTCAGGGTATTTTTTTTTAAAATATTATCATGTTGTTTATATTTGAACTATGAATTATATCCTTATGTGGTAAAATTTTACCAAAGGCAAATGAACATGTTATATGAAGTTCAGGTAATGAGTGACTTTTTCATAATATATCATAATCATAAAATATATCATAATGAGATATTGCTTTGTCATTAAAATCAAATCAATACACATTGTAATAAAATGCATTTTAATACAGAAAATCCCAGAAAGTTAAATTGGAAGGAAGGCAGAAGAGTAATTGAAATACCATTTCTGGCAGACAAACTTTATCAGGGATGCATTACATGCCATCAACCATTGCATCTGAAAGACATTATTGATGAAGAACATTTTGGTTTGGGAAGCATTTTTAGGATTGTTTGCTCCTCGTGCAAAAATGTGACCCAAATTTCATCTGGAAAAAGACATATAAGTACCTATGGCATAGGAGACAAAGTCAAAAGTAAAGCATCATACACATGGGATGTCAATACAAAGCTTGCTTCAGGTATCATCATAACAATTATTATACTGAAATATTTTGACAAACTGACTAAAGAATTAACTAATTATATTTATTTACCATTCTTAGAATGATGGTTTATGATAAAGTTGATATAAATATTTTTTTGAAAGTTCAATATAATGAAATACTGCTTGTGTGTGTTATTTTTAGACTTTCAAATATTTTTTTTATACAGGAATGTTACATACTGGCTTAGGTATATCTTCTGTGAATGCATTACTTGCATGTTTGAATATTCCTGGTATCTCCCATAAGTCACTGAAGGCAAGAGAGAGAGAAGTTGGAAAAAAGGTTGAAGATGTTGCTATAAAGTCTTGTGAGGAGTTTGCTGCCCAAGAAATGGAAATTTGTAAAGAGTATGTTTATTGGAATGCTTTTATAAAATGAAATGATAAATACTGATAACAAAAATTTCTTATTAAAATTAGTAATGAAATTGATTAAAAAGTTAATTTTGCCAAATAGTTTTATAAAATTTATACTTTTTCTCTGTTTCCATGTGTATTGTAAGGGAATATGTTAAATTTTTTCAATGAGGGAGTAGAAGTATCCTTCGATGCAGGCTGGCAGAAGCGTGGTAGTGGAAGATCATACAACAGTTTATCAGGTGAATTCAACATCCTTCTCTAAACTGTAATATATTCATTTATCTGACAGTAATATAAACTTTAATTTAATTAAAATTAACTGAAACTTAGAGGGTGTGGGAATAAATTATGATTTTTTCATCATATAAATGCCAACATGTGCAGTATGTATGGAAATACTTTATAAATTATAATAAAACAATATTTTATAGGTCATGCCTGTATGATTGGTACCAAAACAGGCAAGATTATCAGCTACGATGTTAGAAACAAGAGCTGCCGTATTTGTTAAAATGCTGCATTGTCCGAAGAACCTCCACGGCAACATGACTGCAGGAAAAACTGGGATGGTAGTGCTAAAGGTAAAAAATATTAGCATTACAGAACTTTTAATTATATGTCATATGTAACAAAAGGTAAAATGACATATACGTGATTGCACATTACTTGCTTTACAAATAATGAGTAAATTCATATTGAAACAGGGATGGAATGTGACATGGCTGTAAGCATGCTAAAAGACCTTGAGGCCAAGAACATAAGTGTGGAGACAATTGTGATGGACGATGACACTACAACGATTGCAAGGGCAAGAAAAGAAGTGAAAGCCAGACTAAAGAAAAAGAGTGATAGTAACCACGCCAAAAAACATTTCACCAATAGATTATACGGTTTACAAATTGCCAAAAAGTACAGACAGTTGGGAACGAAGACCATAGCTCATTTAAAGAAATGTTTCAACAATATCATTGCTGTGAACAAGAACAATCCAGAAAAATTGAAGTCAAATCTAAGATCATTGACACCTCACCTTTTTGGGGACCATAGTAAGTGCAGCGAAAACTGTGGATTTGTACGGAACCCTGCTACTTATATTCTGAAGAATTTACCATATAGGAAATACCTGAGTGACAATATGCTGAAAGCAGATCTTCAAGAAACAATTTCATCATTTGCAGACCAAGCAGAGAAGTTAGCCAATTTATGTAGTTCCCAGTCAAATGAGATCTTCAACAACACTATTGCTTCAAAAGCTCCAAAAAGAATGCACTTTTCAGGATCAGAAAGTACATCATTTAGAGTTGCTGCCGCAACTGCCCATAAAAACTTAGGAAGTCATTACGTTTTGAAGGTGAGTTTGAAATTGATAGAAGGAATATGTCAGTATGGTTGAATACATTTGACTATATTATAAAACTACTTTTAGTTGATATTAGATTCATTCTTTTATTTATTTTGCATTGATTTTTTTTCAAGGTAAATGAAGCACTTCTCTTGTCACCAGGAGAACACACAAAGAAACAGATTTTACAACATGACTTGAAAAGGACCAAGGATTATCAACGAAAGTCATCCACATCATTCAAGAAGAGAAGGTCAGCCCTAAAGTACAAAAAACAAGCAGCACTAGAGAGCAAAGAGCTGAGGGAGGGTACCACATATGAGTCTGGTGTGAGCTTGGCTGACACTTCCACAGCAGCTGACATTCATGAGATACCACCTCCTGTCACCTTGCCCACCATATCAACTCTCCCAGATGAAAATTATACTTTCATCTGCTTTGATCTGGAGACTACCGGTCTTGGTATGTGATATTGAAATATGTCGACAGTCACAAAGAAATACACTAATATTTATCTTTTTTTGACAATTACTGATAATCTATTGGCAGATATATAAGCTATGTTTATTTTTTAAATTTTTTTTATTTATATTTATATTAATATTTATTTAAATGAAGTGCTTCATTTACCTTGAAAAAAAAATCAATGCAAAATAAATAAAAGAATGAATCTAATATCAACTAAAAGTAGTTTTATAATATAGTCAAATGTATTCAACCATACTGACATATTCCTTCTATCAATTTCAAACTCACCTTCAAAACGTAATGACTTCCTAAGTTTTTATGGGCAGTTGCGGCAGCAACTCTAAATGATGTACTTTCTGATCCTGAAAAGTGCATTCTTTTTGGAGCTTTTGAAGCAATAGTGTTGTTGAAGATCTCATTTGACTGGGAACTACATAAATTGGCTAACTTCTCTGCTTGGTCTGCAAATGATGAAATTGTTTCTTGAAGATCTGCTTTCAGCATATTGTCACTCAGGTATTTCCTATATGGTAAATTCTTCAGAATATAAGTAGCAGGGTTCCGTACAAATCCACAGTTTTCGCTGCACTTACTATGGTCCCCAAAAAGGTGAGGTGTCAATGATCTTAGATTTGACTTCAATTTTTCTGGATTGTTCTTGTTCACAGCAATGATATTGTTGAAACATTTCTTTAAATGAGCTATGGTCTTCGTTCCCAACTGTCTGTACTTTTTGGCAATTTGTAAACCGTATAATCTATTGGTGAAATGTTTTTTGGCGTGGTTACTATCACTCTTTTTCTTTAGTCTGGCTTTCACTTCTTTTCTTGCCCTTGCAATCGTTGTAGTGTCATCGTCCATCACAATTGTCTCCACACTTATGTTCTTGGCCTCAAGGTCTTTTAGCATGCTTACAGCCATGTCACATTCCATCCCTGTTTCAATATGAATTTACTCATTATTTGTAAAGCAAGTAATGTGCAATCACGTATATGTCATTTTACCTTTTGTTACATATGACATATAATTAAAAGTTCTGTATTGCTAATATTTTTTACCTTTAGCACTACCATCCCAGTTTTTCCTGCAGTCATGTTGCCGTGGAGGTTCTTCGGACAATGCAGCATTTTAACAAATACGGCAGCTCTTGTTTCTAACATCGTAGCTGATAATCTTGCCTGTTTTGGTACCAATCATACAGGCATGACCTATAAAATATTGTTTTATTATAATTTATAAAGTATTTCCATACATACTGCACATGTTGGCATTTATATGATGAAAAAATCATAACAATTTATTCCCACACCCTCTAAGTTTCAGTTAATTTTAATTAAATTAAAGTTTATATTACTGTCAGATAAATGAATATATTACAGTTTAGAGAAGGATGTTGAATTCACCTGATAAACTGTTGTATGATCTTCCACTACCACGCTTCTGCCAGCCTGCATCGAAGGATACTTCTACTCCCTCATTGAAAAAATTTAACATATTCCCTTACAATACACATGGAAACAGAGAAAAAGTATAAATTTTATAAAACTATTTGGCTAAATTAACTTTTTAATCAATTTCATTACTAATTTTAATAAGAAATTTTTGTTATCAGTATTTATCATTTCATTTTATAAAAGCATTCCAATAAACATACTCTTTACAAATTTCCATTTCTTGGGCAGCAAACTCCTCACAAGACTTTATAGCAACATCTTCAACCTTTTTTCCAACTTCTCTCTCTCTTGCCTTCAGTGACTTATGGGAGATACCAGGAATATTCAAACATGCAAGTAATGCATTCACAGAAGATATACCTAAGCCAGTATGTAACATTCCTGTATAAAAAAAATATTTGAAAGTCTAAAAATAACACACACAAGCAGTATTTCATTATATTGAACTTTCAAAAAAATATTTATATCAACTTTATCATAAACCATCATTCTAAGAATGGTAAATAAATATAATTAGTTAATTCTTTTGTCAGTTTGTCAAAATATTTCAGTATAATAATTGTTATGATGATACCTGAAGCAAGCTTTGTATTGACATCCCATGTGTATGATGCTTTACTTTTGACTTTGTCTCCTATGCCATAGGTACTTATATGTCTTTTTCCAGATGAAATTTGGGTCACATTTTTGCACGAGGAGCAAACAATCCTAAAAATGCTTCCAAACCAAAATGTTCTTCATCAATAATGTCTTTCAGATGCAATGGTTGATGGCATGTAATGCATCCCTGATAAAGTTTGTCTGCCAGAAATGGTATTTCAATTACTCTTCTGCCTTCCTTCCAATTTAACTTTCTGGGATTTTCTGTATTAAAATGCATTTTATTACAACGTGTATTGATTTGATTTTAATGACAAAGCAATATCTCATTATGATATATTTTATGATTATGATATATTATGAAAAAGTCACTCATTACCTGAACTTCATATAACATGTTCTTTTGCCTTTGGTAAAATTTTACCACATAAGGATATAACTCATAGTTCAAATATAAACAACATGATAATGTTTAAAAAAAAAATACCCCTGAAAATATTGTGCATCTTCCAGATCATTCATTTGCTTCCAGTGTTGTAATCCGCCCATGGCTCTTGGGATGAGTGAGATTCTTCTCTCTGTGAAAACATAAAATAATGAAAATTCTTAGATTAATCTATGGCCCCCTTTGCCCCATTTATATATAGTTCCTGTTGCAAATTTTTTATTGAGTTTTATCAAATAATTATTTTCCTTTTTATTTATTATTTTATGGTAAAAAGGAAAAAATTCGTCTCTTCACTCATCTTAATTATTTTACATGTTTATAGATAGATTAAATTTTAATAATAATGAAATAAATTACCCGAATGAAACTGTGGAATTGTCATTTGGCGGGATTTCGAACACTGGTGCTGATGATAAACTCACTACTTGGAGAGGTGTTTTCTTTTTGGAGAAATATGCATGATCGTGTAGTGCATGCACTTCAAACGGCATATGTGAAGAAACATCGTTGCTGTTGTTGTTATTTATATCAATAGAAATGTCTTTTCCCTGTTTTTCACTAATAAATCGCCCGTTCTTGTCTCTACGTTTCTGGATGTTTACCTTCACCATTGTTGTTGTTATGGTCTATTATTACCTTACTTGAATGAAGAGCGCGTTTTATGAACGATAACTCCTGAAAGAGTTACGTGACATTAGAGTGAAAAT